CCAGGGCAAATTCTGCTAAACTGCATTTTCATGCTTTGCTGGGAAATGACTGCAGGTTTTCATTTCCATTACAGAATCATTAATATTGTTAATGAGAGTTCTCATGGATAAGCACACTTAAGGAGGATCATCCCTGGGAATTGGGGGTATTATAGTTTGAGCATTTGTTAATTAGATAGAGTTGGCATATGTAAGACTGTCAGATTTGAGGTGGATTTATATGTTTATTTTTGTTTTAAGAGTAACTTTGGTTGTAGTGGCTTGGGTTGTGGGATTTAAAGTTGAGGTAATGTTGGTTCTTGTTGTGAGTTGGGTTAACATTGTGATTTTTCCTCAGTTCCTGGATTCATAAAGAAACCATTTTGTTCCTCCATACTGAATTCTGTCTAAATTCTGTATAGTAGGCACTTAGGACTTTTGCCTTCTTTTAATGGGATTGATAGAAAAGTCCTATTGCATCAAGTGGGAGCAATATCTAGTCTAAAATTACAGACTTAAATATTGTAAAATCAGCTCTGATGTCCTCTTGCAGATGACTGAGAAACATCTCATCAGACCTTTTTTGTACTTCCCTCTGGTGGTTAGTGACTGAATATGAATTTCTTTTTATCCTGACCACCTGAAAGGCTTCAAGATTGCATATCCAGCCAAGTGGGAAATGTTTTTGGAATTTTCACTTCACCTGTATTTTATGAACAATAATATTTACAAGTCTTTGGGATTACCATATATGCTAAAGATTCTTTAGTGATGGTCTGGGGAAGATTTCTCTGCTTGTCTTGCTACATAAAAAGCAAATGGTTTGTAAAAGTTAAAATTACCAAATTGCCTTGGTGTAGAGAATGGTTGGGAAATCTGCTGAATAAAGATTTTTCTGTGAACAGGAGAAGAGTTAGAGCAGAGATGGAGCTTTTACAGCATTGAAGATACAATAGAAGCACTTAAGCTGTACTCCCTAAATGTGCTTTGCACCAATTGAAAAGAGTGAAAATACTTTCTAGGAGACAAAATACGCTGTTGAAACTGATCATACTGATCAACATCTTACTGATGCTTAATGGATCTAGCCAACTGCAAGATTAAATCAAATTAACTCTTATTTAGATTGTTTTATTAGTTCTCTTTGATGTCAGACTTCCGTCATTTTTCTCTCCGCTCTCTTGAACACCACTAAAACTAGAAGTGAATTTATGAACTCTTCGAGTGCTGGCTTTCAGACAGCATACGGTATTCTGTTGCCTTAAAAAAGGCCCCTATAGTCAATGTTTGCAAAAACAGAATGTTGGCAAACCAGTTGATGATATTTAAGGTCTGTTTACCTTACCAAACCTGTGGTTTGGTAGGAGAACCATCATCATATGTGTAAAAAAAAAAAAAATCTTGGTTAAATTGTTCTTCTAAGAGGTTGTGTATTTTTTAGGAGGTATGGTAGACTACTGAATTTTACACGCATTCGTATTCGTTATTGTTGCTTAGAAATAAAAGATGAAGCTCTTGGTGTTCTCGTAGGCAAAATCGAGAAAGATTTAGTGTTAAACTTGCAGAAACAGGAGCAACTTCAACTAGAGTGTTGAGGAAAGGATGGTGTTTTGTAATTACTGATGGAAGGTCAGATTGTACAGTCACGTTAAAAGGGGTAACGAAGCCCAAGTGTTCCATGTAGTTGTGTCTGTTTAGTGTTGATTGTGTTTTGTGACATATGTGCTCATGCAGAACCAGAAGAAAACCAGATTTTGGTAGTCAGAGCTTCCACCCACCCGCAGGAATGTGTGCTGGGTGGGTATCTGTTCAGTTTTATTGCTGGTCGGAAACAGCAGGCGGAAGGCAGAGTCATCCCTTCACTCACCACGCCTGCAGCTTGTAGTGATGAAGAACTCGGTGTGGTGGCCTCTCCACCACCCACTTTAGTGTGCGAAGGGGTGAAGGGAAACTTTTGCTCCTTTTCCATAGCTTTTATACTAGAGGAATGTTGTTTTGAGTCGTCGTTTTTAATATTGTCGAAGTAATCCACTTCTGTGTGATGCCCATATCAGAATAAGTTTTCTCACTTGCATACGTACCTGTATTCCATATGTTTTGAACTGTATGTAGGGTATGTGAAAGCTTTTTTAAGTACCCTTTATGCCTCTAGGTAATGTTCATTCAGGATTTAATCTATTGATTAGTGTTAAATGGTGATGTAAGCATTTTTGCATATCTGACTCACCTTAAAATCATTTTCCTAGGTGCTTTCTATTTCAGTTTGGGATTACAAACAACACATACAGAGAATGTTCACCCAACAATGCAGGATCTGTTGCCATGAGAAAAATGGAGAAATAATTGTAGCGAATGAGATTTCATGTTACTTTGATTAATGCATGCTTAACTAATGCGTGACCCTGTCAAAAACCTAAGACATTCTGAAAACCAGAGCTACCCTGTTGGGTAAACATCTGTGTTACAGCATGTTACAGCAGATGACATGTTCAGCAGTCAGATGATCAAACAGATTACAAGTCTTTCATTGAACATTTCTGCAAAAGTCAGTGTAAAATATACAGAAATAATGTCATATACGCAGAACCATATACAGCATGTATTTAATTTCATATCTTGAAATGAGAAATGAACCAAAAAATAAGATTGCCCATCTTTGCTGTATTGTACTGTTAGCCGCTATCCCTACAATTTTGTTACGTATTTATTTTTGAAATAGTGTTGGTGGGTTTTTTTGGTATGGTACTTTCCCTCCCCCCCCTTTTTCTGTTGTCAACTATGTGACTGTAGAGACTGGACACTTGAGAACTGATAGTCCACAGAAGCAAAATAGGTTCAGTCTTCTTTTTCCTTGAGGTAGGTTTTTATAACCAAACCTTGGTTTGGTAGAATTTGTAAATGCCAGGTGAGCAGACTGCAGGAGGAGAGCTCTATTACCTCAAGAGTCTCTTTTTATGTTTCTTTAAAATTCATCCGCCACTTCTGATGTAACTACTGTTAAGAAAGCAGGACAAGTGTAAAATGACAATGGTTGCTCAATTCAGCACATAGGCCTGCCCCCTGTGTTCTGCACGGATCACAAGCAGTACGGGACCATTGCTGGAAGCCTTGCTCAAAGGGAATTAATACAGCCTAGCCTTGCGTTTAGTAGGAAATGCAAAATGCCAATATCCTTAATATTAACAATTTGGCTTAGTTTTTGATGATGTTCCTCCGGTGGGAATGGGGGGTGGGGAACAACAAAACCAACAAAACAACCAAGGAAATTATAAAGCCTCCAGTTTACTTTCAAGAAAACTTTTATAAACTGTATGTAATAACGTGTGTACTTTCAAACTGCAGTGACCCTCTATCAGTTCTGAAGCCTTTGGCGCTGTATAAAACCGATTTCCACACTGACATCTGGTGGTAGTTCTGAAATGCTGAGTGCTTGAAATGCTGTCTGTGGGTGTCTTGCAGGCCTAAGCGTTAGATGCTATTCCCTCCAGCCCTTCTGAAGTGACCTTGAATCTTAAGAATTCAAACGATCATCATCAAACCTTTATGCAGCTTCCCACAAGGCAAAGAATGTGATGAGTAAATGAGTAATTTCTTAGTATTTATCTCATTTGATTCAGCTGATAGAATGCATTAAAACTGTCTGAGTTGTGTGGAAGAAGTACTTGATTTCTTTCCTGTTTATCTTCTGTAAAAAAACAGTGGTATCAAGGTCCTGGTTTACTGGTGGTATGTATATACTGTGTGGAGTAAATGAGCTCGGGACAAGGGCCACATTACACACAGTCACATTGTGTGGCTGTATCCAGAGTCCAAAACAGGCTGTCATGGTGATAGTGTGACTCATCTCTGCCTCAGTCCCGATTAGGCTTGGTGTGTCTCAGTGTAACAAACAATAAGATCCATGACAAAGCCCACCAGGATTTCCACAGATGGCTGCAAGGGCTTGCTCTGTCCTTCACTCTGACGTGCATCAAGTTCATTTTAAGTTCTATTTAGAAAATATCTCAAATTAGACAACCTGGAAGACCAACTGGATAAGGAAAAGGAAAGTGCAAAGTTTTGTTATGCCATGCCTCAGTGAATCTGTTTGATGTTCACCCCTATCAAATAGGCTACACCATGTCACGTACCCATTTGACACTTGCACATTATGACTGTAGCTGTAGAGTAAGCTGCTTATAAAAATAGATATGTATTTCCTTCACAGTGGATAAAAATTTGAGTCCCTCATTCTGTATTTAGTTCTGGCTCAGACAAGCTTCTGTAGACTCAGCAGACGGATTTTTTTATTAAGTTTGTGAATTGTGTAGCTATTCCTTAAATGGTAATTCATTTTATGTGTGTAAAATTGAGCTAAGCACTGCATTCCATTGCCAGAATAATGGCAGCCACTGGTTTGTCGTATTACTACAAAGTTTAACTTCAGTTACAACTTTTGTTTTCTGCTAAATGTCTGTGTGAACCAGGAAACAAATGAGCACATTAAGAAAATTGATTTAAATAATTCATTTGGACACATAGATAAGAATGTTTCATATTTAAGTAGCTGCTCATTAATATGAATAATGGTAAACCGTTCAAGAGTTTGGTGTGTAAATCAGACAGTTTAATATAGTATAAAATTCACTATAATCAGTGATGAGTAAAGAGGGTCATTCAAGTTCCAAAAGACTGTGAATTACTCATTATATTTAATCTTTTAAGCAAAATAGCTTTTGTGAATAGTGCTAATTGATCTGATAAATCTCAAAGGATGTTGGAAAGGAAATTAAGTCATATATTCTTTTAACATCTGTAATACATAATTGCTGAAAACTGTTGTAATTTTATTTTTTTACTTCAGGTAGTCTCAGTATGTTTGTCTGATTCTATAACCTGTGTTAATTTACACAGTGTTGGTTATTTTAAACTTGTATTCATTTTTATTTATTCATTTATTTAAGCTTGTTGCTTACTCTTTTTTTTAACAATTCTGCGTATTTATTGAGCATTTTCTGTTTATCTTTCTTCCTGTCAAACAGGTATTATTGAGACTGCAGATCGTCTGGATCGTGAGACTACTTCACATTACTGGTTAACTGTTTACGCAACAGACCAAGGCATTGTGCCGTTATCATCTTTTATTGAAATCTACATAGAAGTTGGGGATGTTAATGACAATGCTCCTCAGACCACAGAACCAGTTTATTACCCAGAGGTCATGGAAAACTCACCTAAAGATGTATCTGTCATTCAGATTGAGGCATTTGATCCAGATTCTAGCTCAAGTGAAAAATTAACCTACAAGATTACAAGTGGAAATCCACAGGGATTCTTTTCAATAAACCCTAAAACTGGTAAGTACTATACAGTGTTTTATTTTACGTATAAATGAATCAATGTATTTTGTATAAATACATAAACCAGGTAAAATCAAGATCTTTCATTTAGCATTGTAAGCACGCTTTCACAGTAGAGTTAACCTGATGTTTTGGACTGTGTCAATATTAGTACAATTAGAAGAGGGTTTGGGAGTGAAGCAGTTGGTTCAAAGTACTTGACATCCACATCACGTGTTTTTGTGATGGTTTACTTCAGAGTAGCTCCACTCTAGAATGGTCAATACCCATTTGCTTTTGTAATGCACTAAATACACTCTTGTACTACATATTTTAGCTTAGTTTCATCTGAACTGCTTTTAGCAGTTTCAGTCTACCAATTTTCATGCATAGGTTTTTTTGTCTGGCTTCTTTTTTTATTTTCCCCCTGGTAGTGATAGTCTAAGCAGTGCAAGCCATTTATTAACTGCATACTCACTCCTACCACAGTCAGGAGGGACAATCTTTCTGAGTAACTGTTGGTGTTTTAAGAGATACAAAACCTGGAAGATAATCTGCAGGTGTGGTTGTTATGTAATGAAAAGGGTCTGAGTTTGGTGATTCGTTGGAAAGCATCAGAAACGGGTTTTAACAGGAAAGTTCAAATACAAGAAACAAGTGACCTTTTAGTAACTGAGAATTAAAAATGCTGAAATGTGTGTAGGGGAAAGACAGGAAACAAACCAACCCATTTTTAACTGAAACCTCACAGTGATTTTGAAAACAGTTGGCTACCATCCCTTGCTTATGAATGAACATAGAGAAAATAGTACATCTACTTGATGTTTTTTCCACAGATCTTTCCTAATGGTAAAGATGGTTTGGTTTTAATTAAATAATATTTTGCTGGGTTGAGTGCAGCTTAGCTTTTCATATGTGGCATTTATGTGCTCTTTCACAGTACAGATTATAGGAGATGGTTCTGGTTCACTCAGCCAGAAATTTTTTCTCTCTGAATCCACACATTTTTAGGCTAGAGGTGCTGTAGAGGTGTAAAGAGTGACTTTAATCTGTAACAAATGTAGTAAGTAGAAGGGAGCAATGGAAGCTGTATTTATTTAGCTCTTGCTCATTCATGGCAGGCATTTCAAGGGATTTAAAGGAAGGAAAATTGTGTGAAAAATACATTTTAAAGGCTGGGTTGACACTATGGCCCTCATTCTATTTTATAGTTGTTTCAGCTCAGGGTATGAAAGGCTTGTGTGCTATATCAGCTGTAATTGCTGTGTCAGCAGAGCTCTGAGTGCAAACACAGGTATGTTATTTGGGTTATTTCAGACAATAACTTCTTTGTCAGCATGTGTGGTGCCTGCTTGTGAAGACATTGCCAAGAGGGACATATGAAATAGCTATAGCAACAGAAGATCTTTAGCACAGTTAAAGTCTGTATCTAAATACTATATTTACAGAAGCCTTGGTTTGAGAACAAAGGCAGCCTAAAAAGTAATCCTAGAAAAATTCAACATGATAGATTTCTAAGTGAATGCAGAAACTGTGTGTGTGCGCACTTTATTTCTGTCTTTCTTAAATGAAAAGGAAAAGTTTTCTACTCTTCTATCCATTTCCTCACCCTTTCTGGTTTTGAAAAGTACTGTTTGTCTGCTACTTTGATATTTCTTGTCATCTCAATCAATGATATTGATAAAAATGGGAGTAAAATTGTCCGAGTTGGTTGGAAAGAACTGAGTGACAGTAGTGCTCAAATTGCAAGTGAACATAAACTCTGTTTACATTCATTTACTCTTTATTGTATAATTGGCCAGCTATTTTTGGTTGCTGTTCCCTTATTTTTTCTGTAGCTCATTTCTCTTTCTTCCAGTCCTTTTCTACTTGTCTCTGCCTTCTCTATCATTATGCAGCATTGTCCAAACTTTGTTTTTTAAAAAGACACATGCATTTCTCCCTTACCTATGTTTTGAGATGAAGAAACATCTTTATTCCTATTTAATTGACATAAAATCAGGGCAGCAGGAGGTTGTGACTTGTCTTCAGACAGAGTTTGTAGTTTTCCACATCAGTAGCTTACTGCCTATCTCAGTTATGTTAGAAAGGGAGCTTGAGGGAGCTCAACACTCTAGATGGTGAAGTGATAAGGAACACTTTAATAGAAAGTTAATAAAGATTTTCTGTCAAGCGAGTTTCTTACCTGCCTTTATTGTAGCATGCATGCTGTAGAAGCAAGCAGTGCCAGTCTAGAGTCCTTCTCAGCTCTGTGCTAAAAGGAGAAAAAAACAGAAAAAACCCCAAAACCCTAACCAAACAAAAAAGCAAAACACACCACCAAATAGAATAAAATAAGTAATTGTGTTTCAGAATACAGGCACTGAGAAGAAAATAATCTCCCTCTGATTTACAGTCAGCAGGAGAATTTATTTTTTAAATATAGTTAAAGTCATAGGGATAGGTAAATTAATTGATGTCTACTACTGTTAAAATCGTAATGCTAGATAGACATAATAAACAGAGAGGAGGGGGAGAGAGGGAGTGAGAAGAGAAGGGAAACCTCTTTGGCTGGTTTCTGTTGTGTTCACAGAGCACACTCATGTAAGTTCAATGAATATTAAATACTTGGTTCATGTATATGTCTTCCTGTTACATAAGAAAGTGAATTTTATGCAGTCTAACAGGCTGTCTTGTTTTTCCTGTACGTGTTCAGTTTGAAACTGTCGATCTGCAGTAGGCACTAATGTAGTGATGAGTTATGACTGAGATTATCAGGATCATAACTTCCTAAGTCTCTCTTCTGTCTATTAGAAATCACACATTTAACCTGAATAGATCTTCTTTGGGGTGAAAGCACTTTCACTACGATTGGGAGTTATAAAAACACTTTAAAATACATTAGTTATACACTGTGTTATGAATACAACAATTTTCTGTCCCTCAATTAAGATAGGTCACATCTGAAGAGTACATTTGACTAGAATTAGTGGGATCAAATCCTGTTTTGTTTGCTTATGCAGGCAGGTACGTTACCTTTGTTGGAGCTTGTGAGGCTATCGCACTCTAAGACGTTTGTCAAAGGAAGAGAAACCTTCACAGGGCTTGAGGTTTCTGTTCCAGCCAAGGGAGAGATAGGGCTAGAATATGAATCAAGTCTTTAACTGTATCCCTTTATAATACTGAAAGTGACAGAGTGAGACAGTTAAGCGTGTGTGACATTGGTACTTCGGGCCACTGTGTAGCCCCAAAGGCAAATTGAGGACTGTAATGGCATTCAGGCCCAGTCAAGGAAAGGTTAGTGTTGGGAATACCTGGTTAGTGCTAAAAATAAGTTTCAGCTGATACTATGTTATTGTCTCCTTTCCAGGTCGAGAATCCATCTTTTTCTGTCTCTTCATAGAATTTATCACTATGGTATTGTGGTCCATGGCTAGAACTCCCACACATAACAGTAATACAGATTAGGAATAGTGATAACCTATATGTAACCTATGCCAAGTAAAATACTGGTTCGTGTTCTCTAAGTAGCTAATTCATTTCTAGAATTTTGTAGGTTCCACATTAAGATGCCTGTGTCTTTGTGCAACAATCCTCAATTTTTAGATGCTGAAACTCACTGACATGGACCTATGTAGGATATAGTTCATCTTTCACAGGAAGAAAGAAGATAATTCTTTTCATGACGAGACTGTTGATTGACTGATATGTTTCTCAGAAATGTTACTAGCTGAAGTAGCATCTGTGTGCTTCTGACAATGATCAGTTTCTGAGTGTCCCATTTAGTAACTCTTCACTGGCACTTAGAAACATCTTTCTTACTTTAAGTAATTATAAAATAACTTAAAGAAACATTGCGGAGTTTTTCTTTGCACGCAGGCATGCTTTTGCACTTTTTGGAGCAGGATATGTAACAGTACATCACAGGACATCTTGAAATCTTTCCACATATACCTGGCCTTTCATTAAAGCCAATGAAATAACATTTTCTTTAGTTTTGGAGTTTCCCTGTAATAAAAAAAGCTGCTGTACATGTGAGTTGGCCACATGGAATAAAAACAGTTATCCTAAGGCTGTTTTCAGGAAAAATTTAGAACAAAGACTAATTCCACAACTTTCATCCTCAACCTGAGAATAACCTAATATGTAAGTTATGATAACTACTTTATACCTGCTTAACTTCCTGCAAAAAAGCTTGTAATTTAATACACAAGCTGTTGAAAGAAACGGTAGAATTCCAAGGCATTTTAATATGTTTAGATGGAAGGAGATGGAATTGGCAGAACTTGATAGCTGTTCAGAACATGTCCTGGGACTCTCTGGTTAATCTCACCACTTAACCCTAGAGCTGTGCACTGAGGATCAGAAAAGATCTGTGCTTTTAGCAACATTCATGTGAAGCAGAGGATTATATAAGAGTAAGTTAGTTCTGAATAGTGCGCTTTGGAGCTCACAGTGTAGAATGCTTTTTTTGATAATGAATAATTGAAAGTGGTTTAGTAATTTTTCACTGTTTGTTGTAGGTGTGGTTTATTTGCTTCTGAGTCGTTTGCGTTTTTTTTCTTTTTATGTTATGTAATTACCTTGTAACAAGGTCAAAGACTTTGAAAATTATCAAAATATTGTTGTTACTTTTCATATTTCATTGCATGCCTTTGGATACATTTTGTCTGAGAAAGCAATGAGATGGGCAAAAATGGATGCTCTGGGGAATGAGTAATGAGCTGTTTCACTTAAAAGTCAGTGATTCAATTCCAGTCTACTTGCAGGACTGAAAAGTTTTACTTCTTACTGATGTAAACTCCATGGATGTATTTACAAAACACAATTGAATATTCATAGAATCGTAGAATGGTTTGGGTTGGAAGGGTCCTTTAAAGGTCATCTAGTCCAACCCCCCTGCAGTGAGCAGGAACACCTTCCACTAGACCAGGTTGCTCAGAGCCCCATCCAACCTGACCTTGAATTGTTCCGGAGATGGAGTGGAAAAACTTTTCCACTGTCTCACCAATCCCATCATAAAAAAAAAAAAAAAAAAA